AAAATTTATACTTAAACCAAACAAATCCCAACCTTATCGGGCGGGGAAGAGCAGGGGGATACCGAAATTTGGGTTAAGGGAATTTTTTGATAAAGGCATGTCCTAAGTTATAGCAAATCAAGTTGAATGTTGAAAACCCGGTCAATTATTTTTCTGTCTGTATATCTTTTTAACCGCTGAACCGGTTTCTTCGTGCAACTTTTCGTGTCAAGCCTAATATTGTATTCACCCTAATACTAAAAACACAGTTTAATGGCTTTTTGATGTTTAAATTTGTTCAATTAAAAATGTAAATAAAATTATTAATTGGATGTCTGCAGATGTAATACATTTGTATTTATTAGGTTATTTAGCTTATATTTAATTAAAGTCCCCTAAATAAAAAAAAAATACTCATAAAGTATTCTTACCCTATTATTTATTTTTTTTAATCTATGCATATTTTAAACGACAGTAATATCGTTTTTTATAATATTGATATATTATTATAATTAATATTTTTTATTCTTTTTCTTGTTTCAGTTATAGCTATTGATATTGATCCGGAAAAAATTAAATATGCAAAACACAACGCCGAAGTGTATGGCGTTGCACACAAAATTGAATTTATTATTGGCGATTTTTTCGCTCTTGCTAGAAATTGTAAAATGTTAAAAACCGATGTAGTTTTCATGTCTCCTCCTTGGGGAGGACCAAAATATTCGGTTGACGAAAAATTTAGTTTAGAATCGATGTGCGACAATCAATTTGGTGGTGGTTATGGCATATTTGATCTTGTGAAAAAGATTGCACCCAGTATTGCTTTTCATATGCCAAAGACGACTAACATATTTGAAGTAAGACACGCCGTATATTAATTATCGTACTAATTGTTATTTCTTATTATTATTATAATTATTATTTTTTTTTACATTTTTTCTTATTGTGTTGTTTGTTTTTTACCTTTTAGTGTGTATGGTTAGCCAAAGGATTTGGAAAAGTGGAAATACAACAAAACATAATTAACGACAGGTTGAATTCGATAACTGCGTTTTACGGAGAATTCACAGAAGTAACTGATAACGACTATTGAGATTTATATTATTAATATAAATATAATTATATTTCCATTTCCACAAATATTACCGATTTATATTATTATCATACATTGGCACGGAAAAACGGAGCGAAATGAAATTTTGTGTATTCGCCCGTTTTTCTTTTAAAAGTATTTTTTTTTTTTGTTCAGCCCAATTTTTTTGCTTTTACTGTAAAGTAAACTTAAAATTTATAAACTTTAACGGCAGGTACAAAAAGGACTTGATCAATTTTTAATTTTCGTTATGTTGTTATTAACAAACCCAAGAAAACTTTTTAATCTTTAAAGCAATTTCTTCATTTATACGGTTCATCGATAAAAAAAAAATGCATACAATTGTATATGTAACCAAATGTTTCCCACATTTTCAATCGTAAATGTGTCTCTCTTTGCGATTGGAAATAAACATGACCGAGTTATTGTTTGCGGAATTATATCCGTATAAATAAATTTGTATTTGTTTCGGAGAGAATAAATCCATCAGAAGCGATTTTAGTTAAAACATTTTTTTTTTAACATCGTTTAACATTCTGACACAGAACAACATATTATATTGTTTTAATAAAGTGTGATAAGTGTAGGCTTAGATCGACTTAAAAAAAGTACAAAGAAATTTCTCCATCAACTGAAGTTAAGTTAACGTCACGAGCCCGTATGGTTGGATCGTTACATTTTAAAGATTTTTTATCAAAACGTGAATCATAGGCAAGGTATTTTAGGAGTACTCACAAATGTTAATTCACCGTGTTGGTTAAACATTACCAAAAATTATTTATTTTTCCAATTAGTTTAATTGTATTTGACGTAACTGAATATCGAAAAACACTATACAATGATAATATTATGGTTAACAATATATTTGTTTAAAGAATTTACACTTGTAAGGGAAACCGAGTACACATAATAATTAGAATAATAGATATATAGAATAATAATAGATCACAAAAATAATAATAATAAATACCTAACGATGATAAAGTAATTTAAAAAAAAAAATTTTAGACAAATTATTTGATACATTTTTTTTAATTGGTTAAGGTTGTGTTAAATAAATCAATATTCTCCAGCGCATTACACAATAATAACATACAGTTGAGCGGAGCATTAATACTATAATTTTGGCGTTAAGGAGAAATGTAAAACGTGGAAGGTGATGATCTTAACGTAACGTTAGGAACATTAAATGGAATGATCTGTAATATTTCAGGACAATCAATTTGGCAATTTAATAATCGAACGAATTAGGGCTATATATAGACAGGCTGGATTTTTAAACTCCCAACAAATGCGCTTTAAAAAACCGAAGGGCTTTGGTACACATTTGAGTGATGTCCACGGAACGATAGATCACTAGATAAAATAATACCCAAGTCTTTTACATGATTAAGTTTAACTAAATCAACACCACCTATTTCATAAGAAAATAAGTCGGAAGATTTACTACGGGAGAACGAAATTTGAGAGCATTGAGGAATTTACGCCGAGGCCATTTATTATACACCAATTATAAAAGCTACCTATTGAGATCTTCTTGAAGCTTATAGCAATCCAAACGAGAGTTAATATTTGAGAACAACTTCACATCATCCGCAAAGAGAATGCACCGGGAATACCGGATTACTTTTATAAGTCGTTCATAAATGTGGTAAAAAGCAGTGGTGACAAATGGCTACCTTGGGGCTTGGGGTACTACATTTATAACTGAAGATGTAGAGTTGCCAACTTATTATTTTTATATCTAATTTTGAAACTTAAGCGGTAACGCAAGGTAATTGTAAAAACTAAAAAAGTACTAATTAAAAAAAAAACCCTTAAAAATGTATGTTTTTGTAGTTTTAAAGCCGAGCTGAGAAGGTATTTTTTTTTACAGAGATGTGTTTTTTTGTGTCTGGACGCAAGATATTTTTTTTACCGCTGAACCAATTTGAAAGATACTTATAGATATATTTTAGATAACTAAAATTCGTTTGAATAAAATCATAGCTATTATATATACATATAAAGCATTCTGAGTCATACACGTGGTCATTAGCCTGACGGCTGACCTCAAATTTTTTTTTTGACTTCCTTTGGTCTAATATAAGATATTTTTTTTTTTTACATTTTGATCACTTATTTTTTCCCCAAAATAGAGGTTTCTTAGTTTTTTTTCAAGAAAACTCGATTTCGACCAGTTTTAAATTTCTAGAATTTTTATCATAAAATCAGAGACTCAAATCAGTTATTTTCATCTAATAAATAAACTGAATGGGTCGAGATAAATTTTCTATTTTTTTTTTTTTTAATAATGAAACTTTTTTTTTAAATTTGAAATTTTTTTTTAAAAATTCAGTTTTTTTATTAGAAAAATAAAAATAAAACTTCTTGGTAAAATTGGATATTTTGCATATTTTGGGAATAAAAAATGAAAAATGTTCTTTAAGAACAAAATTATACTTTTTTTTCAGATTTAAAAAAAAACAAAATTTTCATTGCAAAAAAAAATAAATAAATCTCTGCCCATTCCCGATATTATACGAAAATATTTTATTTGAGTTTTTGATTTTATGATAAAAATTTTGGAATTTTAAAACTGGTCGAAATATATTTTTCGTGAAAAATGACTTTAAAAACCTCCAATTTAGGGGTCAAATATGGCTGATTAAATTTCAACAAAATTAAAGTCTTATATTAGACTAAAAGAAGTTCATAAAAAAAAATTCGAGGAGGTCGGTCTAATGACCGTGTGGTTTGTCTCAGAATGTCCCAAATATATATACAGAATGATTAACTAACCGTGAACCACTCAATATTTGAATGGGTTTAATAAGAAATTAAATTTTTTCTTTAAATAGTATTTTTATGCAATGTGATCTCAGTTTTTCATCAATTTGTTGTGTTTTTACCTCCCTCTCATCTTAGTTTTTTTGATAGACACTTTTGAAATTTAAATGGCACCTAACGCATAATTTCATTAACTTTTTTAATTGAGAATAATGTACTACAAATTTTGACTGGTCGATAACCGTCTTCAGATAACTATTTTTGAAGTTTCAAGTTTAGGGCTGAAAGAAAGGTAGAATGTAGTATTATTTTTACCTGTGCGTATTTCCCAACTACTCTTCCCTTCTTATCCTAACTTTTAAACTCGTAATTAAACGTATAACCCGTATTGGACAACCATTTTTGAAGTTAAGTAGTAGTTACACTTCATAAACATTGTTATATCTCCGTTTAGAGTCACATTATGTCACTATAGGCATTGATAGACTTTGTTGACACCGACAGTTGCTTTATAATGAACCCATTCCCAAGATTTGTCGGTAAAAGTTAGCATAATATGTCATCAACGTAAGAAACGACTAAACCATCAAAATGTAGATCACTGACTATGTAGATATACAATATAAATAATATAGGACCCAGTACGCTTCCATGAGGGACTCCATATTCAACGTTTTCCCGTATGTTATAGTTTTTTTAAATTTAATTTAATGCTAACCTGCAACCCTAAGAAAAGGGTTATTATTATTCTTTACGTTGTGTTTATATTTTTAATATAATTAATAGATAGATAATATTATTAATATCACACCGCAAAGTATAAAGGTAATTCTTTTTAATTTTTTTTTGCTGATACTCCTTCAAACATTTAACGTACTTTTATATAAAATGTTTGATTTACTAATAATTATTATTTTCTAGTATCAATATTTTTCTCGTAGGTACTTCATTTATTTTAGGAGTTATGTTGCTGATAATTTTAAATATTCGGACCGTGTTACTCGGTCCGAGGTAGTCTTAGTAGGACAAAACTACATATTATAAAAACGATAGATGGTTTAATTATTATTACACTAGTCTACAGTTAAAATAATTACTATTTTGTAGTTTTTCTTTTTAAAATATTTTTGTTTATGCTGTATAGGTATTACAATATTTAAATGTTGAACTTCTTTACTATTTTCAAGGTGTCTATCGATTTTTGAAACCTCAATTAACTAAGTATATTTCAAAATTCGATTATTTGATAACTAGTTTTGAATAATTATTTTTTAAGTTTGAAATTTAGGATGGGATGCGGAGAGCAGTTGACCAATGCGCGTAGATAAAAATAACTAGAGTTATCCCGTCTTACATTTTAAACTTTTATATAATTGTAATACTTATGATTTAAAACTGATTATCGACCATTCAACATTTTCAGCAAACTATTATTAATTTAACGAAAAAAACAATGCACGGTGAAAAACAAGTATACACCCAAATAAAATGCAAAATGGTGTCATCCTTATTTAGATTATAGCGTTTGAATTATGTTCGGTTTAACTAATTATTTTAACGTTACCTATGTTGGAAATAAATGTATAAAAAAAGTGTTAAGGGGATCACATGCGGTCTGTTTTTAAGGAGATTTGTATAGGCAATACTTAAGAAAAAAAAACAGTTTTTAATAAATTTCATCCATGTCAATTAATTTACAGATTAATTTGTAAAAGCTTCAGGTTTTTTAATTAAAATATTAAACCCCAAATTTGTTACATAAAAAATGCAAAAAATCAAAAAATCTGTTTCTTTCATAACATAGTAAAGTTGCCAAAGAACTTCTTTACTCAATCTAAATTGGACCATCCTAAGTAGTCGACATTTTGGTTTAAAACGTGAAAAAACCAGACCCCGTGCAATCCTCTTAAACAACGAATAAATACATGTTATGGAATAATACAATTTTAAAGTTATAGTGACTTAGAATATTTGTGAAAAAGGTTCTTTTGTGATCTTTTTAATTAGTCATTTTTAATAATTTTCAGTCATATTAATAACAATTTTACCGATAACAGGTTTCCAAATAAACATAGTTAAACTTAACATCGAGAAACGTTCAGTTGTAATTTATATTATCGATGTAGGTCCACTAAGGATTGCATAATATTCAAGATACGACTAAAGGAAGCTTCATAGAAAAAATATTATTCTACTTATTCAAGTGGTTATGATAGACCAAAAAAATAATTAATCTAACAATAAGAATTCTCGGCAATATTTATAATCTGTAAATAAAAATTTGGGGAAAAAAACAACCTATAACCATTTAGTAAACGAGATTTAATCTATATACCAATATATATAATTATTATGTAACTGGTTATTTAAAAAAAAAACTCTAAGGCCAAAAAAAACATTTTTTGACAAAAATGTTTAAAAAATAGTTGGTACGGAGCATATAGTGAGGTCTGGTAGGTCTAAAGGAGTTATTATAATTAAAAATTATATGATTACTTTAAATACAAAGGCATCAACGTAAACCTTATCCTGAAAAACTAGAAAACCATTACGCGACTGTATAAATGTGTTGCTTATACTTAACGACACGAGTGAGTCCGATTTCACCAACGATTTTAATTAGCGCTAAGACGTTAACCGTCTAAAATTTGCTGGCTAACCGCAATTAAAATCGTTGGTAGAATAAGGCCTTATGTACAATTTTTTCTTTTTAATCGACAATTCAGTTGGATTTTTTCACATATAAAATAGGTAGTTCTTAGATTTTTTTATAAATAGAATTAATTTTCTAAACAAATTACCTATATTTTATATAATTTAACACGTACAGAATTTCCGTAATAAGTACGTTAAAAACGTTATTAACTATAATTATATTTTTTAAAAAAAAATTTTCAGAGGACTGCGTACAGTCTGTTTAATCGTTTTTCTCGTAAGTCGTTTACAAATCTATCGGCTTTTGCACTCAGGCTCGTCGGTGTTTTGTAATTTTCAAACAAATGTGCGTTTCTTTGGTACATAAACACGGCGGCTAGAAAGTCCCACGCCGTGAAGTCCGGCCAAAGTACTTGTGTGAAATAAATATAACTGTACGAACACTGAAACACAGACGAAATGGTCAGGTATAATGCACTGACAAACACAAACCTGTATATTATTTCGATGTACCTGCCATATCATAAAGTCACTAAGTCTGGTTTCTCCCGAAGTGCGTATCAACAAATCTGGCGGCGGCGAAGGATACGTATACAAACACTTATCGATTATGTTGACGTTTAGATCGGAGAAGTCCAAACAGTTTTCCTTGACGCCGTTGGCTATATGATTCAGAGCGTTGGTTAATTCGTCGTGACCTGTGTGATTGAATGATAATATGTTTACGATTGTTTAATTTTAACAAGGGAAAACTTCAAACATAACGGCAAATTAACCTGTGTAACCGAAAGCAACGTTCAGGATCGCTTGAGTGTTGTGTCGGGTGACAAACATGGATTCGGCCATAAGTTTGGTCAAGTCGTCGGGCAATTTCGATAAATTCCCAATAATTTTTACGCACACTCCGTGTTCATTTAGTTTATCTCTAAAACAAGAAAACGCATTTGATCAGTATAAAATTGTACACAAACAATGTTGTTCAGACGGTACACGTTTTGACTCGGCAAAAAAAAAGTAAAATACATAAGATATAAGTTAGATTATTTCTAACGTGTTATTTACTTGTTGACGACAAGTAACGTTTTACTTAGAAAAAGTCATCTCTGAAGAATTATCAATATTGACTATTTGAACGTTGCAGTTGTACTAAAATTATTTTTCACTTTTATATAATATTGTTTACCGTTAAACCGATAGATACAATGTTTCGCTTACTTTTCTTGTAAGAGTTTCTTGAACTTTTCTCTGGTAAGATCAAATAGTGCTTCGATTTCCTCTTGCGTTCTCTTGAAGTTTTCTAAACTGAATGCGTACACAGTAACTTCTTTGATGCCCAAATTCAAACACCATTGTAAAGTTTCAGATAGTTTATCGAACCTAGAAAAAAAGAAACTTAGTGTTAGGTTTATTTACGTTAGATTTCTATTATATAGGTAACATAAGGTTAGGGTTAGGTTGAATTTAGGTTAGATTTAGATTAAAAAGGTTAGGGTTTTTTGACTATAGAACTACCGACAACTATCAAATATGAATAACGAGGAAATCAATTAACCCTGTCCGAATTTAGGAATGAATTCAGTAGATTAGAAAATCATAAGCTAGTAACATTAACGACGAATGCAGGGAGTTTTTACAGCGAGCCAGTAAACATTTGTCTTTGCTAGCACTCATCGTACAGAGGTTAAAAACGCACAAAATTGATTTAATCATAGATTACTTGCTGCTAAAAATCAAACTTATGGCTTTAAGAGAACAATGACCAAACAATATGTCTGAAAGGCTATAGATGTATCACTCAGTTTAAATGGGACAAAGTTCATACTGGCAAAATCGCTATGTACCGAAAAGAAGATTGAGTGTCGTTTATAACTCTGCACTTTCTTATGAAATTCATGTGCAACATATGTCAGCGATATTGAAGATTTCTTTTAACTAAATTTGTTAGCATACACTTACACACCCTGTAACATTACTGAAATAGTTGCAGTCATCAAAAAAACAAATTATGATTTAATACCAATCATTCTATCCGTAGACTTCAACTCTGATGCCAAGAGAAAAAAAAGCCAATTTTTTTTTTAAGTAAATAAACATTAATTTTTTGATTAGACAAATCATCGTCGTCAAGGCTTAATTTTTCTCTATTTTATCAGATAAGACGCTCTTTTGTTCAGCAGAGGACACTATTTATTAAAGTAATTATTAAACACTAATTGTATGATAACAAAAAAGAAATACTGATAAACAAGCGCAATTAGTGTTAGGAGGTTTAGTGTTGTTCAGTTTGTAGGTACCTACAATCGTTTCGTATAAGTAGTGATTTTGTGTTATGCACAGTAAGGCCTGTGTGGAGAAAGAAAAAGATGATACCTTCCAACTCCTAAGTGAACTACCAAAATTACTATCCTTTTTAAAACATTCTGAAGAAACGTTGTAGTTTGTTAACAAAATTGAAAACTTTCTTGCAGCAACAATGTACTCAGAATCATAAACAAAAAAAAAAATAGACTCTACAACACTGAATCTGACTGGACAAGTTTGTTAAAGAGAACATTATAGGTCCGAATTGTCAAGTTGAACGCCGACAGTTGTCTGGAGCCAGCACCCAGCACCGGCACCGATTTTACCGGTGTGTGTAGGTGTGAAAACGACATCTAAATGTCCGTAGCTAGGTTTTAACTATCGTTCGCACAATCTCACCCTTTCGAATGTCCCTCGCTGTTGTCCACGTTTTTCTTTCTTGCATAACGTCTGTTGCCGTCCATTATGAACGCTACATGCTTTGGCATCGGCCCGTACGTCAAGACGTGTCCCCAAAAGCGTTGCGGCCATGTCATCGAGTTGTCACGGATCCAAGACATGACGTCTCTGCTGTGGACATACCTGTAATCGGTGATCGGAAAGTGACCGGTGTGGCGGGCACGGGCCTGCAGTCGTCCGAAAAATCACAAGCCGTTTTATCATCGACATATATTTCATATTGTATTAACCAATACCGTTTTTACTCACCTGTGATGATTTATTTTTTAGTTTTCATACATACTCCCTCAAATATAGTGGAGCAAACCGAAAAGCCACGTAACGACTATAACGAGTGAGAACCAATTTATTAGCTGTTAACACAATAATAATATTATTATATATATTAAAAAATCGTGATAACATCCATTGATAATATTATCTTGCTTAAACCGCCAGCGTCGGTTTGGATATTGGAGGATAATATAATAGCCGTTATCTTCACTGCATTCTACCTCCAGCCGGCCGTCGCGGCCGTCGCGGCTGTCACTGTTATCACTATCTAACAATCTCAGAGTCATACAATATGGTTTTTATGTCAACTTGCTCAAAGTGACTGATTTGTTAAAAATATAAATATGAACTGATTTGCTTGTACCTAACTATATTAAAATAATTAGATTACATACGATTGACGGAAACCGAGCCTTGTCAAACATTCTCACCGTATAGCTGTGTAACAGTAAGTGTCCAAGTTACATTAATATTGATTCATGGTCTTATTTATAAAAATTAATTAATAGTCTACAGTTTACGAGTTGGGTATTGAATTTTTAAACAATTTCGATGATTTTCATGCATTCGTTATAGACTTTTAAAGTTTTAAAATGAGAAGTGCCGTTGGTGCTCCTAGGGACGATAAAATTGATAAAAAGTTACAGAAAGATTTTGATTGTGTTTTTTTTGTTAATTGTGAGTTCTATTTACATTTAGGGTGAATAATATATTATTGATAAATTTACTGTTTAAATTATTTTATAGTATCTCTTTATACTATCTGAAATATTTTTACCTTACTAATCTATTGGTTGTATTTGTTACGAAATTTTAAAGATGAACTACCAAATGAAATATTATATCCAAACGAGAAAGTTTCTAATAAAAACTGCAGGACATTAAAAAACGTATGCCATATATTAATAAGAAATACAAACATTGGCCTGTGATGACTAGTTTTTATTTATCTTTTTATTTCAATAGAGTATTCTAAAATATATTATGTTCTTAATTTCATTGTTCAAAGACTGACAAAACCAAAGTGCTGTTATTTTTTTTAGTGGTTAAATAATATAATTTTTTAAGTTTAACGAAACATTGTACTTTAACTTTAATTATATTATATTATGTCTCATTACGTTGTAGCAAGTATGATCTTAATATTTTATTATATTAATTATGCTATTAATTTGTTAATCAAAGACTGATTCAACAAACTTACATGAGTTTGTTTTTTAGCCTTGACTGTTTGATCTATTTGAGGATTTATTCCCCTATATAGGGATTTCATTTAGAATTTTATTGACAATACCAGTGTCTGTTGCAAGTGGAGAAAGAAGCTTCTCTAAATTCAAATTATTAAAAACCTACCTAAGGTCAATCATAGCACAAGACACCCTAACATCCTTAGCTACAAGTATTGAAAATCTTATTGCTTAAAATTCTGACTTCTCAGAATTAATTAAAGTATTTTCAGATAGAAAAGTGAATTTTTATTACCTTTTAATATTTATTAATTTAGTACCTCTGTAACGAAGTTTAAAATTAACAAAATAATAAGGAATTTTTTTAATTTTAAACACAGCTTATCTACATAAGCGTATTACTGGCCACCTGTTATCAACAAAATATTTTTTAAAGTTAGTTTCTGTTCAGCGTTGGTTTTACTATGACTCCCAAATAACAAAAAACAACACAAGTACATTTCGGTTTCTAAATAGTTTTTAATTTTGTTTTTGTGTTGTCATTTTATTTACTTTTCCATTGTAGTTAATTCAGTGTCATTGTCATTGTCCGCTATACAATGTTTAGCGACCGGTTCCAGGGAAAATTAATGACAGTGTTTTATAGTGTTGGCAGTAAGCCTTTGGCAATTTGGAAAATAGAAGTTGGTTTATAATTACTAGCCGGTTTTTTTTAAAATTATGTTTAATGGTTTCTTTTATTTATCTAATCATAATTTCTTGTCAGTCGAAAGAAGGCGATATCAGAACCGTCCAAGACGAACATCTCAAATCAAACGTTCTACAAATATTGTCTAACAATGTTACTACATGTTCCATAAGCACACCACCTGATTCTGCCGCTTCCCTAGGTATTCGTTTACCATTTATAGTGTTGCTCATGAAAAACCTCAACAGATACTTTACGTTTGAAATAACGGTAAGACTAAAACACAAAGTAAAGCCATATAAAAAAAATATAGCGTCAAATTAAAATTATAACTATTTTCTATACTGCCCTCGTGTATTTAAAATTTTCAACCGGCTTGTTTGTTGTAAATATGAATTGTACAAGAGTACAATAGTAAAAGAGGTCTGTTAGGTAGGTAAACCTTAACGATGCTTTATTTTATTTACCACTTCTTCGATTCCTCTATTCTCTAGCTACACTTATCCTGAATTTTGAATTTTAATATTAAATTCATGTAAAACTATGTTTACTACTGGCTTTCAAATCGCTTAGGTTTTGGATAACGTTAACGTCCGCCGCCGTTTCCGAGTCAGCAATTACCAGTCTGCCACCAGAGTGAGCATGTACATGTGCACTATGCCTCTGTGTCTGAACAACGATTGGAACCAAATACAGTTCAACTTGGCCAACTTCACTGAGCGCACGTTTAACACCACGTACGTGGAGACCGTCCGGATTCAGGTGCACGCCAACTGTAGGGTGCGAAGGATATACTTTTGCAATCAGCTGTATCCGGATGAACAACTGCCGTTCGATTACAGGATGTTCAGTACTAAACCCCTCCGAGAAAAACCAAAAAGCATGTTAGTGAAAAAAGTTAAAAAAGTCAAAGCCTAAACCTGTTTTAAACATTCACTTTTGACAGCGTTAATACAGTTGTATGTTAACAAATGTTCTAATTCATATATATTTGTTAGTGTTTTTTTTTTTTAAAGAAAACGCGCAACCAGGAAAATAACATTGAATGGTAGGATAAATCCTACGTTTTTTAAGGAAAACCTAATAAATAGTTAATTGCTCGTTAACGACTAAGAAATTTGTTTCTAACGACCATTCTCTTACCATTACTTAAGTTCTCCAACAATCTTCCTCCTGTACAATTTGTATTTATCATACTTCTCTATGTCACGCCGCAAACTTAGCTTGGTTATTCTTCTGACACTTTTTTTTTTTTATTGAACTATCCGTTTTCCTATAAAAATGCTTACTACACCGTTATCGTCATTTAATTGTGTTATATCATGCCAAATTTTCTTACTTAAGCCCGAGTTCCAGCAATTCCAATGTATCTTTACACGAACCAATTCACTCAGTTTTTCTAACCGCCATATCTCTGTTTTCTGTTAAGATGGGCTTTTGAAATTTGAAACATAGATTCAGCTCGAGTAGCTTAGGAGACTGTAAAAATTTGAGCCATTAATAGAAAGCATTTTCAAAAGGGGAGAATTTCAAAGTTTCAATTTTTGTTGCTGACCGACTCATCATCAAAAATTACCCATTTAGGTAGATAAGTGAAATTTGACACAAAGGTGTGTATGTCTTATAGTTTAACTAAAGGTAAAAATCTGAAAGTAACAATTTTCTACAAATTTAGGAAGAATAGTTCTAAATGCATGAAGTGAACATGCACACAAATATTGCTTGATTAGATTAGCATTAATTAATCACAGATCCCCGCGCCGTCGAAACAAACGTTCTCTTCCACAGTGCCAAAATATGCCATATGGCATTAAGCAATTGTTTGTAATTGACAGTAAATACTTATCAAACATAATGTTTTCATGACTTTATTGTATTTTATTTTATTTGTCAGTCATCAAATGCAGAATATTTTGATATTAAATAATAATATCATTTTTTAATTAAGTCTATATAGTCTATACTCCACCTACTACTCCACACGCACATACACATTGTCAACATGCGTCTATAACAACACTATCTAACAATCTCAGAGTCATACAATATTATGGTTTTTATGTCTAAGTTGCTCAAAGTGACTGATTTGTTTGAAATATAAATATGAACTGATTTGCTTATACCTAAATATATTAAAAGAATTAGATTACATACGATTGACGGAAACAGAGCGTTGTCAAACATTCTCACCGTATAGCTGTGTAATAGTAAGTGTCCAAGCTACATTATTATTGATTCATGGTCTTATTTATAAAAATTAATTAGTAGTCTACAGTTTACGAGTTAGGTATTGAATTTTTAAACAATTTCGATGATTTTCATGCATTCGTTATAGACTTTTAAAGTTTTAAAATGAGAATGTGCCATTGGTGCTCCTAGGGACAATAATATTGATAAAAAGTTACATACAAATTTCGACTGTGTTTTTCTTGTTAATTGTGAGCTAAAATTATTTTATAGCTTCTCTTTATACCAGTTGCAGTAAATTTACCTTACTAATCCATCGGTTTTATATATTACGAACAAGAAAATAATAACAATAAATATGATGGCAAAAGTCCAGTAACATTGACTATAGTAGCATTGATTATATTTATAATAGATATCCAACCAAGACAAATTTTACTTCTGGACGGGCGCTAGTTGTATGATTTTCATTGTAAGCGGTACTACTAGAGCATGTCCCATGTCAGCTTATAGAACTGAAATTTGTTTCTGTTGGCTATCTAAAATATTTACAATTAATGGTTTAGTTTTATTTATTATCTACTTAAAAACTATTTTAATGCTGTTACTATTATTAAGTAAAGAAGAAGGAGTGCTGTATGGTAAGTCGTCAGTGTTTATGGCACTTACTGTAGCCGGGAGCTTTTTTTTATGTTTAAGAGTTAGTTTTTTTTAATTTAAAATAATATAATCTCGACTAAAAAGAAAAAAATCATTTTTTTTTATTATTAAAAATAAAATACATTTTATAAAGGAGGAAAATAGTATTCCATATTGAGTAGAACTATGTTTGTAATATTTCGTTAAGTTTATTTTTTAAAGAATTTGGATTTTAATCTTGGTCACTAGTGTGGCTGTGAAGTGTAAAACTATTTCTAATGTTATGACTTTCTTTTAAAACCTTTTTTGGGCTAAATTTTGCAAAATGTGTGCCTCTCCTCACCTTTTCTTTTTAATGAGTTTAGAATCTTTTTTAATAAAAAATCATTAGTTTGTGAAATACATTTTAAAAATATGTTTTGTTTTTTAGAATTTAAGTAGAGAGAAATAACCAATAATCAGAGTTAAAATGGATTGGTATAACCACGGAATCGTAATAAAAATGGAAGAGGACGAAGACGTGAAGGAGCATTTTACCGAAGTAAAAAAAAAACAGAACCACATCACGTTGAAAAATCATACAATAATTCTCCGACAAACCATAACGAACATCAGAAAAATATTGACGGGTATGCATATATGATATAACTAATGTGATTTTTATAGTTAAATATTTTTATAATATTTTAGTAAAATAAATTTTGTTGAAAGAATACAGTAATCTTATTAAAAGGAGACAGGCATTCTATGGCGAATTACTAGGCATAATAGACTGATAAATAATAATCTTAACTAATTAATAAAACTCTTAACATAAAAATAATACACTCTATGCGTATACGTATGTCGGCAACAATTTTAGGTATCATCTTTAGAGATAATGACAGTTAATAACTGACCATGCAGATTTTAAAAACATGACAAGCGTATGTCCCCTGGTAGCTTATCATATAAAATTATATTATTTAAAATATTATAAAAAATACATTGTAAACAACAATTTTTCACCAAAAGTTCATTTTTGGTTATGACTAACGGCAACAACATCAACTATGTATTCTGTTTTATATAAGGCCTTTTTTTTTTTAGTTACTTTTAAAATTATTTTCATTATAATTTATTTTTCAGGTTCCCTGAATCGAAAATAAAAGTTGAAGACGAAACGGATAATTATTACAACGAAAAAGTAATAGAAGAAGACTATGATGGTATAAAAGAGGAATGTACTGAAATAAATGAAACGAAGTCGACTAACATCGAAAAATCATGTAATAGTCGCATGACGACTCAGAACGATTTTCAAAACACATTCGACGGATATATATACAAGTAATTAGTTTTATTTTTGTATACGTAGTATATCAAATACTTAAATATAAAGTAATAATAAAATGAGGCACAGTCCACTACAAACGAAAAATCGATACACTGATAGCACATATTGCACCATTCTTTCTTAACATTCACTCTCTGGTGATATTATCTATTATATTTTTGAGATGAGCAATAAATAATCTTTTTTATTTTAGTAACATGGAAGTGTGCAACACCACGGTGGTTAAAGTCGAAGCCGATATAGTGAATGGACATTATTACGAGTCCTTGATTGAAATTGAAGAAAATGGGCTTATGTATGTGCAGCCTACGATCAATGATTTGGACAAAATACAGCAATCGTGCGATTCGACCAACCATAAAAGCACTAGAAAACCATTCAGCAAGAAAAGTCTTGTGTAAGGCAAAGTATCGTTAATTATATATTGTAATCTTAATGGTTTTTTCTTGAAATGAAACTGTAATATCGATCTTAATATTCTTTCGTCACATATTATTTAAATAGGTCCTATATAATTCACGATCCAATCATGTTTAGACTTTAAAATTACCAGTTTAAGTTAAAATTTAATTTTTAATAAAGAAAAAAAGAAGTAGAGAGTGCCAAGTAAAAAAAATTGATACATTTTCATTCACACACGAATTAATAAGTTTTCTGGAAAACGAAATTCGTCCGTAAATTCTACATACATATATATATCTCTATATCTCTATTTATTAATACTTTAACCGTTTAAATCCAATCAATTTACTTACAACTAAAAATTTAGTAATAATATACAAATTTGAGAATATAACAATTTTAGTTATTGTTGTTTTCTCGTATGTTTTGCTGTAGGGTCACTGGTACGAGTCATGGAGAGAATAAAAAAATTGATGGTTGTCATATGGAGTCTTGTATAGAAAAAAAATACAATTATATAATACCTAATGATAACAAAGAGGACTTCAAAGAACAGCGGTTATTTCAGTGTAATTTTTGTCGAACTTATCACACTATAAAGCAAAAACCATTACATGAAAACTCGCCCTTTGCAATACACACTACTAACATACATTTCTGTGACGATAAACACAACTTTTTTTTCTTCTTCAACTTGGATAATAAAATTCACTCCATTAATACTCTAGCTCGTATAATTGATGAAAACCTTCAAATAGGCATATCAAAAAGATTCTCCATAGAAGAAATCCTTAACATATGTTGTCAAACAGAATTTTTTCTATTTTTTACCTGTCATCTATGGGACAGAAAATATTTATCAAACTTTACAAAAATTTACAAATTAATTGAGATTTTCGCCATGACACTAATGTACATAAATTATGCCAACTTATTATCTGTCAGATTATTAGCTATAAAAATAGGAAAATTTAACACCGATAATATATCGCAACACTTATTAGAAAGAAACCAATGTAATGAATATTTATTTTTTTATTGGAACAGAATTATCACAAAATATATAATTCTTTTAAAAAAAATAATTTACACCCCATAATCGTACGTACACTCATGCACTTCCATAATACTCACTGTCTCAGTCACACATCAATTTCACAAGAAGCCATAATAAAAAATGAAGAGAACACTCAATCGGTCCCTAACGAACTCGGAAACATTTATTTCTTCATCCGCAAATTCTCCGCTCACTGTAATAATATTTAATATAATTAATGAAGCACAAAATATTATAAACCAAATAGGTTGGCAAAATTATGAACTAATAATATTATACCGACTCCTTTTAAACTTTAATTTTATCTAAGAAAATACTCAAAGCACACAATATTAAGAATCACAAATAAAACATATTTTACACTATTAATTTCACCCACTTTAATAAAATATTATACTTAAAACATAAATTACAAATAATTATTAGCATACATTTCAACTAATTAATTTTGTTATTAAACTTTTTTTTAATTACATATAACTTAAACAAAAAAAAACAAAAAAAAAACACAAACATTTTTATTAACACGGCAAATCAAAAAATCTGCTACAGTATAATTTGGTGAAAGTTAGAATAAGAAATATTCAAACAATTAATATTTACTTAACAAAACTACACCATACACACAAAGATGCATGCGAAGCACAATTGCATATAAAAAATACAGCTTATGAAAAATACGAGCTCATTATCTTATAAATGACGCTCAGAAAAAAAAATATCATATGCACAAAAACTCACGAGATTTAACAATAATAGATATAATTATTATATTATAATATACGCTTTCAAATGTATTTAGAATACACTATAGCATTCATGCACTTTCATGTGACAAACCAGGTAAGATAATATAGCTTTAGTAGTGCATGTGCATATAATTCTTAAAAGTATTAGGTATATAACACCTAAAAACAATAAAACAATACATTTTCTTCATGTAAGATCCATATATCTTATACACATGTATATGGTTAATAAGTTATATTAACACAAACAAATTTGTCGCCAAACTAAATAATTAGACACAAAATCAAATATTTAAATCACATTAATATTGCACACAACCACTATAATATTATATACATTTATTCAATTTTTTTTTTTTTGCCTCTCATTTTTCCATTTTAAAAAAAAAATATATATATATATATATTGTAACTATCACACATCATCCCTACCAAAATATATTGTCAAACCTGTAAGGGCGTCTTGTCAACTTCAAATACACCTGGAAACGAAAACAACATCAAAGGATCAAATCAAACAACCAACCACAAGGCAACCTTATCTCCTTCACCTGCATAAAACAGCAAATGGCATATAACAAAAACTACCCACTCCCTAAAACACAAGATATTAATTGAGTGAAAATTTCACCACCAGGACAAAATACAAAAAATATATTTCAAAAAAAAGACCATCCAATTTACTAATACTTCAGTATTCGACTTACCGCGAGCCAGAACATACACAAACATCAACTATGCTAGTAATATACTAATACTAACATGTCTTTCGAAACAAATACATCCGTATACACAGAAAATACTATCGAGAAGTACTTAGAATTGATAATTGGCAACACCAATAACAATTATTATTTCTACACCAACTTCTTATTGGATTATATCAACAAAGGATTCGAACATGTTAAACAAAGACATATTACTCAAAACCTATCGGTTCTTCCCATTTAACTTCAATAAAAATCATTGGATGCTTATCACTTGCCATGTGCCTACGGAGAGCGTGATAATATATGATGGAAGAAGAGGAACTTACGAAGACATCACCTCCGACTTGATCGATTTCCTTACACAATGGGAAAATGAACATAAAATGGCAAAAAAACAATGGACGGGTAAATTCGGCAACCAACCGATGCTAACAAATTCATGGGACAGTGGGCCGAATTTAATTGAAATTGCGAGACACCTGGCAACCAACAAATCACCGACCATCACTGAACTATATACATGGAAGGCGCATAATGCATATTTCCCATGTAACAAAAGTGACTAGCCTCAGAGGCCGCCATGTTGATTCCGTTTCGTTATTTTACTTACCATATCTAACTTTATTTAATGATTTTCGATAATGGTTTCTGACTTCATATTGTTAATATCGTTTTTTTTAACCGGTGATAAAAGATAATACGATGTTATCAGCTTTTTATCATGGAATAAATGATATATTACACCGTTTTATCCATGACAAGAATCAAAAGGCGGAATCCGTGTGTCGGCAATTTATTTTCACTATGCTCCTTCCATGTATATAGTTCAGTGCCGACCATTAACCAAGCCATGATGCCATTCATAAGAACAAGGCATAAGGAGGAGATCGCACAAAACACACTCTTTCTCCAAACTCCACAACCACAAATAATTCTGACGACAACACACCCTACACAGGTACCTAAATTAACTGTTAATTTTAAAACTTTAAAAAAATTAAAAAAATCCTTCTAAAATAAAAAAAAATAGATTAAGAAGACAAAGCCTAATTGCTAAAGAAATGTAAAAAAAAGATTGCAATACTTAAATCCCCAATAGCACTTTTTTTTTTAACTTTATTTTAATTTTTTTAAAAAAAAAACATGTTTTATATTAGGCCACGGGGACGTGTCCAAAATTCGAAAGTGGCACTTTGTAATGATTATATTGTATGCACTGAATCATTTAGGTACACGTAATATCATAATACATAATACATAACACATAATACATTTTATAAATTAAATTATATGCACTAAAAATACCTTTATATATATATGATAAGATTATATGCACTAATCAAAAATGTCAATTATATAAGATCAGTTGTATGCACAAATAATAATATCGCACACAATTATTTATATATAATTTCAAATACAATATTTTATAAAAAGTATAAAAGGATATACTAAAATAAACAGGACGCACAACATACACTGACTCATACCATACAATTGTACGCTTGGATGATTATCCTATGCACAACAAAACATTGTGTTTATTTATTATTTGTTTTATTAAATAAAAATTAATTAACAGAATTGTCAATTAAATCATCAATTTATTTTTGTTCAGGTTTATAGTATTATGGTATTATACTCGTATTATAATTATATGTATGTATGGCAATATTTATATATATATATTAATATTTTAAAATAAAGCAAACGTGTGCTTAATCCTAGTTGTTCCCTGGGTTTTTTTTTAATTAACTATTATTTCAAATAATTTAATCGTCAAGATGTAACAATATTTATATTTTTTTATTCAAAAATTTTTCCCAGCCCTAATACTAAAAAATACAATTTTAAACACTTCAATGCCCTTTAAGGGTTTTTTCGATAATTGTATTTCTACTATCTACTGACTGACACCTAAGCGTTTACTTAAAAGCGATTATATAATTTTCAGTTGTAATAATTATGTGTCTCTACTATACCCCCACCCAACTGTATTTATGTATTCATAAATCATAAAAAAAAGAAATTGGTTTTCTTTTTGAATTCTTAATAATAAAAACTTATTTGTTTACTTTTTGAGCAACGTATGATGGCGATTAAAAAAAATAAGTTATACATCTATTTGGTTTTCTCTTAAACTTTCCGATTAAGTTTCTTTTATTTATCTTAAACAAAAATAAAGGTTAACAGAACATATCTAGACAAATAGTTAAATCCTACTCAATGATATTTTCTTCTATGTATGTATAATTGTATATATGTATATTCTATAATTAATTATAAAATTTATTTATATATATATATATATTTATATAAAAATTTTGTATTTAGAAATATTATAATAAAATATAGAATTTTTATGAAAAAATAATTATTATGAAATTTATAAATTTTATGAAAAATATAGAATTTTTATAAAATATAAAAACTTTATGAAAAATAGAATTTTTATAAAATAGAAAAATTGTATGAAATTTAGAAATTTTATAATAAAATATAGAATTTTTATGATGTATAAAAATTTTATGAAATTTAGAAATTTTATAATAAAATTAGTGATGGGAAAATCCGGATTTTGCATCCGAAGTTAAAAAAACCGGACTTTTAAACTTCAAAATCCGGAGTTGTAGTATTCGAACTTCGAAATCCAGATTTCGAAGAAGTGATTTAGTGAAATTTAGTGAAATGACCGCCATATTTGACCCCCCGGCATTTGCGACCTGGATGTCTGGGTCCCAATATTTTGACGGAACATTGTATTGTCATCCAAAATGAGTGTCTAGGTTAAATTTCAGCCTTCTAGGATATCAGGAAGTGGGTTAAATTAATTTTAGAAGATTTGAAGAAAACATGACATTTTAGTGAAATGACCCCCACATATGACCCTGTGTAGGGTGACCTGGATGCCTGAGTCCCAATATGATAACATTATATTATAGTGTCATCCGAGATGAGTGTCTGTGCCAAGTTTCAGCCTTCTACGACATTGGGAAGTGGGTTAAATTAATTTTGCAAGATTTGAAAAATATCCGTACGTGTTAGCGAGTTAAAGAAAAGCATGTAAAAACTACTCAAATATAGCTTAAAATTTTTAAATAGGTAATTGTTTTCAATATATCACAAATAGTGAACTGTAATACAGCATACTTACTTTGTATTTAATCTAGATTACATATATGAAGCTTAAAGTTCATTAGAAACATATAACTTATGGTAATTTAGTTGAAGGGGTCCGATAATAGCATTTTATAGAGGATTAAAAGTCAACTAATTTGAACAATTTGGTCATCTTGTACTGCTGAATTAGTAATTACAAAATGGCTTTATGAATTTTAAAATCGGTAATTTGGCTTTTTATTTAAACCCAGGTAACGGTTTCTGAAATTCAAATTTTGAAAACCGGATTTGTCATTAAGCCAGGATTCTTCGTAAAATCCGGATACTTCGTGAAATCCGGATTCTTCGTAAAATCCGGATTTTTTTCATTGAACTTCGAAAACCGAAAATCTGATTTTACGGATTTTAAGAAAATCCGGATTTATTTCCCATCACTAAATAAAATATAGTTTTTATGAAAAAAAGAATTTTTATGAAGTTTAGAAATTTTATAATAAAATAAAGGATTTTTATGAAATATAAAAATTTTATAATCAAATATAGAATAGTTATGAAAAAATAATTTGTATAGAAAAATAAAATTTTATGAAATTTAAAATTTTATAACAAAATATAAATATTTTATAAAAAAATAAAATTTTTATGAAATTTAGAAACTTTTTAATAAAAAATAGTTTTATGAAAAAAAAAAAATTTTATAAAGTTTAGAAATTTTATAATAAATTATAGATTTTTTATGAAAAATACAATTTTTATATTTCATAAAATAACTTTATTTCAGAAAAATTCTATATTATATTATAAGATTTCTAAATTTTTATATATTATAAAAATTCTATTTTCATATAAATTCTATTTTTTATGATAAAATTTTAAATATCATAAAAATTCTATATTTTATTATAAAATTTCTAGATTTCATAAAATTTCTAAATTTCATAAAATATCTATATTTCATAAAAATTCTATATTTTTTTTATATTATTCATTAAATGTTTTTTCGGTTCATTTTTAAACAGAGCCACTGGGGCAACTAGTTAACTATTGTTGTAATCAATCTCTTAGTTTCTATATTGCAGATATAGCTACTAATCTAGCTTTAATTATAAATACAATAGTATCAGGAGATCCTGGATAATAATCGTTCTAGTGTGGGTTAGTCTGCTGGCTGTGATATAGTCTCGAATGTTTAAGAGATACTGGCCATAGATATTTGATCGTCTTACAGTGTGTCCTACGTCTGCTGTTTAGGGTGAACCGATACTTTACGAAGGGGTTTTATTATGTTGTTTCAATTTTCTTATTATTTATGTTATATATTTTATGAAAAATTAAAAATTACAATAAAATCTTTGAAATTAAACTAAACTTAATTAAATGAATAGAATAACCATTAAAGTAGAGGAAATTCTTCTAGTAATAGTTTTATTTACGAACACGCAATTTTTCAATTTCATTATTATAATAATAATACAATAGACAATAAAGAAAAAAATATACTGATACAAAAGAAGAGATAGTGATGGATACTAGTGTTAAAACTTGAATAGTTAGACCAGACAATTTTAAAAATTAACTATCAACTTATAACATATCCCATTCATAATTTGTTGCTTAGTTAATTATCACAGGTAATATATCTTTATCATAATGGCAGCAGTCTGGACATACAAATTTTTCATCTACCATTCTCATAGTCTGAAACAAAAAAAAAAAAATTGTTTAAAATTAGTTTGTACAGATTGTAGCATAGTGTGGAGACCAAACATAATAAGTTACAGGCCTTCGGGAATTAGTGTAACTTAAAATGATACTGCTATCGAATCAATCGGCAGTGCTCGTTGAAAAAGACAAGTGACGTCACGGGTTGCGTCGACCTGCTCGGATATTATTTTAACACACACAATTGCCCGACGGGCACTCATAAGTGCAATGGAATGTTTACTCTTCTTACTCAAAACCAAAACACTTTTTTTATTATTATTATTATTAAACAAGCTTAAAGAGTTTTCTACATTTTTACTGATAGACCTTGTGTGCTTTTCAAATAGCACTACCGATCAAACTGAGTGTAGCATAACAATTCTGTCTTTACCAAAAATGTGTAAGTTATTTGTTATAACATCCTTCAATATTAAATAATAAAAATAAAAATATTACTGAAATCATTTGTAATGTATTTTAGAATGTACTAATCAAAGTTTTTTTAATTTACCGTTTTAATTGAAAATTAATTTGAAAAAAATGTTCTAAGAAGTGTATATTTTTAATAGGTACACATTTTAGTATAATTGTTCATGAATACATTACAAAAAGTTTCTGAAAAATGTGTTTGGTTTTGCCATTTTTCAAGGTATACAACTTATTATTTGACACCATCGAAATAATAAATTACATTTCAAATATACCAGAGTAATTGTTTTTTTAGAGAATTTCACATATAAATGAAACATTTTAACAGGAGTGGTTTTGTTTTTGTTTTTTGGAAGTTTACAAACATGTCAACTCACTTTAATGCAATAATAACAAAATACATGTGAACATTTCATGTGGTGAGGTAAAATCGGTTTGTCTTGACATATCGTGCACACTGTTCTAGCGTTCAGTATTGGTGATTTGTCGATCCATTTGTCACTTGCGTTTGTAGAATACGAATAAATCAATCTTTTAACTTTATGTTTAACTGATTGATAGTTGACTAAAGGTAATGTAAACAGCAAAAGTTCCTGGAAATAAATTTCAAATAATTCTTATTTTAGGTTTTTTTTTTTTAAATGTAAAATACTACATATTTACATTTGTATTATTTTTTTTAAAAATTCACTACCTCATTTTTATTGTATATAAACTTTAAAAATTATAATGATAGAAATATTGCTCTAATTATTAATTAACTAATAATTAAATTAATATTTTAAAAAGCTATAAGGTAAAAATATTTAATTTTACAATAACATATTATCATCATTAAGTTACTTCGGTAATTATATTTATTAAGCCAAGATTGCTAATTTAGTATAAAATTCTCATTAAACAAATCGTTTAAAGAAAAAAGAGGTAGGTAGGCAATGGTTTTAAGAGAGCGCCACACCAGACTCACTCCAACTATTTATTAAAGAGTAAATTATAGGCAAGTTATTAAAAATATTTAACACCAGGATACAATTTTTTATACCCAATTGTTATTATGGCAAAAAGAAATTCATATTGGTATATTTGTTTGCAAATTAGGCTACACAGTTGTTAAGCTATTTTTTTAAACCAAACGTTTCGGAAGATGCACATTTCATCTTCAAGAAACTAAAACAAATTACCAGATTAACTACAAAGAGATCATATTGGAGGATGTAATATGACACTAAATTTGACATTTTTCAAAAGCTTTTAGTATCCATTGGAAAATATTCTATGAAAAATAAATTACGGTAATTATATCTTTATCTTTAAATAAATGAAACTCTCGTTTCCTAGAAACGTGCATATCTTGATAAATGTTCTACGCTTCAGTGAATAGTGGCAAGAACTCTCTTAGGGTTATAGTACAATAGGTTGTGTTATTTTAAAATACATATTAACTTAATCTCAACCAGATTCAGATTGAGTAATATGTAAACATATGAGTTACAACTAAATGCAATTCACATTTATCGTAACATTTAATATAATTAAATATTGTCTACTATTTCTCAAAAAAAAAAAATAAAATGCATTAATAATAACTCAATCTAAAAAAAACTGACTTACAGAGAAACCATGCCATAACAATTCTCTAGTCATATATTCATAACCAACAGTTCTCCTACGAGTCGATTCCTGTGTTAGGTTTAAAATTCGTTGAGCGAGTGTTGGGTACTTGCCTTGTCGAAGGAACATCAAGAAATTTAAAAATGAAGCCACTTTTACAATAATGAATATTGTTTCTAAATTATTAAACTGAAATAGGATTATCAAAAGTAAAATAATTAAAATATGATTCTAAAAGTGAACATTTAGTGAGTTTACTTTTTTTAAACTTACTTTGTTTATAAAGTTTTCTGAAGGGCTTTCTACTTTTGATGCTACATATTTTCCTCCAATTGTTAATATATTTAACAGAACTAATTTAATGCCCGTTAACTGGTCTGATTTATACTTGACGCCAAGAAGTTGTTGACCAAATGATGCTTTTGATTTTGATACTGAATACTAGTGATTAAAAATAAAAGAATAATCAATAATACAATAGGTAATCAAAATAAATTCAATATTTAAATTTATGAAAATATAAAAACTATAACTTACATATGTAAGAAGGCATTGTAAAAATGTGTTAATTTCCAAACTCAAGTCATTGACAATCCATGTCTGAATTATTCAAATGTATGTAAAACAAAAATAAATGATGTTAGTAACAACAACACAGGGTTAAAATGTTGATATAATATAAATATTGAAATTTTAATAATTGGAAATCAAAGTGTATTCAATGTACCTATATATTATTACACTCACTAAAACAGGGAATTATGGGTCTCTTTAAGATATAAAGTATAGCGCGGACCCCGGATAATTTTTATTATCGCGTTGTTCATGAATGTACAAAATCTAAGTTTGATATTATATATTGGATAACGCAAATTTATATGCGCCAAATTTTAGCGACCGGCCGATTTTAGCTTCGAATATCCTGTGTGGGCTACTGTTCCGTTTAATTAATCATAATTTTTTAAAAAGAAAACACTTACCGGTAAACATTTCAAAGCTCTAACCGTCTGATCGATAAGTATTTTGGAAATATATTCATCAAGGACTTGTGCATCTAGCTAAAAAAAAAATTATGCTTTTTACTATTACAGTTTTGCTAACTTGTTAACCTTTTTTTTTTTCCAAATAGAATTGCTTTAAGTTCGATAAAACGATATTATTGTCGTTACACCAAAAATGTAACATTTTTTTAACTTACTAATGTCACGCGAGGAACCATAGTTAGTGACAATATTTTAAGTTTGTCGAATAATGCACTGCAGGCACATTTAGATTCGTTTTTTCATTTAATTTGTCGTAGATTAAAAAAAAAAACGGTCAATTACTTACAAATAATGACTAAATATCTATCCGGTTGACGGTATCGTTAACTGTTGATAACAGACTGCCATATTGAGTTGATAACAGCTATTAGTGACGCCATGGAGTACAATATGTACTATATTTTGGTTTGTTGGTAAACTACCTCCATGAAAAATCCCAACTATATCAATTTTTATCAACAGTGCGTCTTGATAAAGCTGTGTCTGTAACAATTAACTTTTTATGCCTTCAACTTACTCAGAGTGATCGATTTGTTTGAAATATTATATCGTTGTATGTCTTTTAACACCAAATAGAGAGCGATCCGACACCTAACTCGATCACATAATGCACACTCAACCAGAAAAGAACTAGAAAACAAGTCAGCAAATAAAGTCTTATGTAAGGCAAAGCTTTATTACTTATGTATATTAAATTCTTAACGGTTTATTCGTTAAAATGAAAAGAATATATAAGTATATATATGATTTTTTTTTTTTGTCTGTAAATTCTACTTACATTTTCTTACTGTATCTTTATCTATCGATGTCTCAAATTTACTGAGCGATACTTTTTGTAATACCAATACATTTACTTCAAAATAGAATATATAATAAAAAGAATAACTTTATATAAGCAACCTTACGGGATGCCAACAACACAGCATAATTATCAATATTTGTATACATTATTTATAGTTATAAATAAATTTAGCTCCATATTTATTGTTTGGGTTTGTTTTGTTGTAGGGTCAATGGTACGAGTTGTGAATTGAATAGAACAATTGATAGTTGTCCTGTCGAGTATTCTTGGAGAGAAATATAATACAATAATCAAATAGCACCAAAGGATAAAAATAAAGATTTCAAAGCACGGCGATTATTTCACTGCGATTTTTGTGAAACGTACTACAGTAAAAAGCTATCAACATTACAATATATAGTAAAATCCATATACAGGCTGCATGGCACATTTATTACTTAACCATACATTTTATATAAAACTAATAGTTCACAAAATTCTTAATAGTTGTATATTACTTAACTTGTCGCATTCATTTGGCATTTTTCTTAATCTGTTTAACTTGGAGAAACTATTCAATAACCAATTGATTTTATGAATTAACTGACATTAGCTTGATGAGCAAATATTTATGATTGTATTTGATTTATATGTATTAAAGTTTTATAATAACGCAACAGTATGCTCAATCTTAGTTTGTTCAATGTTTTTTTTTTTTACAAATAATTTAATCGCCAAAATGTTAAATTATTTCAAAAGTTAGAAGATAAAGATTTTAATTTTTGTTAATTACCTCTCTTGTTAAAGGCTCGTTATAGAATACTTTTTAGTTTTTATTAGAATTAATACATTTTTATTTGAAGGCCTAAATCAAGATTACCATTTATTGCCTCTCAAATTAAATTTTTCCTAAGCTATTTGTAATGAAGGTATTAAAACAATTTTAGCATTGATAAGATGTAGAATGTTTCGGTTACATTAATTTAGAGAAGTATGGTAAAAGTCTCATATAACTTTTTGACGGTTAAATTATTTTACGTTTATTATATATTTTCTTTTTTTTATAGCTCTTTAACTAAAAATGTGTTAGTGTGTATAACTCGTTTTAATCAATGTTGATTCAAACGTGTTTATGTACCTACTATTGGACGAAAATGTATTCATAATTTTATTGTTGGATATTTTGTTCAATCAGTGCACGTCTAATCGTGTAAGCTACAAGTATTTTTAGTAGTTAGTTGTTTAGTAGTGTTTAGTAGTAATAATAATTTTATAAGCTATTTGTTTTTAATTACATAATTATTTTTTAAAAATCAAAAGTTCAGTTAGTTGGTATTTATAACGTAGAATAAAAAGAATCCACACGACTTATGTGCAATTTAGGTCTGAAAATTAGACCGGGGCTAGATCTAGAATGAGCCTATAACATATACGCCCCCCCCACTCCCCAAATACTGAAATATATTTTTTTACAAATCAACGACCTTATAAGGGTTTTGTCAGTAATTGCATTTATTTCTACTATCTACAGATTAGCATCTTAGCGTTTGCTTGATAGTGATTTTATCACTTCCAGTTGTAATAATACATATGTAGGTAACTGTGACCTGCCAAGTCCTAACTATACTTGACCCTTACATTCTTAAACCGTTATTAATATAACATACCTATACGATGGAATCAATAAGATGTAATTGGATTTTTACTCTTCAACTGGTCCGTTGTCGCCTTATTGGTATACCAAGTCATAATACGGAACCTAAAGTCCTAGCCGTTCCAAATTCTTACCGTTATAATCACAACAAGCAATAAATGGGATTTAAGTACTTTACGCCTGTATGGCAAATACCTTTTTTATTTCATGAGAATTAACCATAATAAACAGTACAATATACTCAAAAGGGAGCTTGGAGAATTGTATAGAGAAGAGGAAACTGAGAAAACCCATAAGCAATTTTTAAACCCACGGAATTGATGCATATCACACAAACACACAGCATTTGAATGTTAGAGTGGAGTGTACCAGAATTAAAATAATTTTACAACATAAAAAATATATTTTTAAGTACAGTATTTAACATTAGTGGCCAATATTTGAAATACTAGTTCGGATTTACAAAAGGATTAAAAAAGAAATTCTTCATAACATATTCAAGGCATCGATCGTGGCATAATTTTAAAATTGCATTTTTGTTACATTAAAATAATTTACTACCTAACTAAAAATAATTTTAATATTGTGCTACGATCGATACTTTGAAAATGTACGAAGTGAAACATGTTTTTGAACAAAAATACTCATATGCGTTATAAAATATGTAGAATAAAAAATTAAATATCAAAATAAATCCTTCTTTTCTATTGTACGTTTAATAATGTTACATAATTTAAGTTTTAATGAAAAATGCTAGTGTAGAGGCCGCTTAAGAATTAATTTAAGTTAACTCACCAGCCACTACTGAGGAAAACCTTCTCAACTGTGAGACTTGAATAACTAAAACTAAATAAAATATAGGAAAAATAAATAATATAATAATAATCACACAATTCTATAGTTGTGTTTGATCATAAAAATTGTTTTGTATTTGTCGGTATTAGAAGCGGAGAGTTGACTTAAGAGTTTAAGGCTCTTACAACTTTTTAATGTTAACTTCGAAACGGAACGTGGGTTTATATTGCAACAGTAAAATGACAAAAAAAGTAAAACATATTGAATTATTATACATATATATATTTTTTTTTTTCTTTAGAGAGACCAAATTAAATTACAATTCATGTATGTACTACTATAAGATTAAATAAACCAGTAGACAAAATGTACATTGTTTATAGTTTCCGCGGTACATTCAAAGTTATTTAAATCTGATCAATTATTATAATATAATATATACTATTTCATTCGACTTATTAGTATTAGTGAAAGTTTATTAAAACAATTTTATTTTATAATACGTAAAATTGAAAGCTTAAATTTGAACACAATGATACTAAACCGGTTATAATGTTATTTCCTAGTCTTTGCTCGAGTATCGTTACAAAAACATTATATATTTAGATATATTTGAGCAAAACGTGTTGTCAGCACTTAACAATAAATAAGTAAAATTGTCTTAAATTTTACAACATATTTAAATACATCATAGGTTGTCAAACATTTTAAAAAAACTCTATTCAAGTAGGTACATGAAATGATAATGTTTCACAAAAAAATGTATCCCTGTATACTGCATACATAAAAATTGTACATACCGGCGAGGAACCATTCAAATGTATGTTCAAATATAGCACTACATTTGTATGATTTCTCACCACCACGCACAACTCTATGCTGTTGATTTTTTGAGATGGCCATATGACTGATGAGGTTAGAACGGTCTTCACAGTTTTATTATTTGATCATTCCATTTCATCCCAGAAAGGTATAGCACATTGAACGTATTGGAACAGACACTAATGCCACGTAGCGTTTAATATTCATTGTATTCTTCTATGTTCTTCCGTCTTCACTTAGAAATCAAAACATTTCACCTCAACCTCAATCATCGAACCTTTTATGCAAACGTAACCCAAAAAAATTAAAATTATATTTATATGGGTAAATCAGAATTACTTGAAAAATTATAATGTTTGTAGGTGTGTCAAGATAACAAAATATGCATTACGCAGTGTTATCATAATTTTCGCAGGCGGGTAAAAAATAATTCAAAGCGTTCTATATCTTTATATCAATCACACAGATTGCAGTTTACAGATGTATTTATTTAATTAAAAAAAAAAGTGACGACTATATAACAAGGGTGGCCACAACGAGGCTCGCAAGCCGCATGCGGCTCTTGAAACCAAGCTTAGGGTAAAATTATCAAGTCGTTTTCAGTATGTGTAAGCCAAACTAGTCAATTTGCGGCTCCCAAAATTAAGGTTAGTGGCCACCCCTGCCATATAATATCCTGGCTCGATACTTACACAGCTACGACGAGAACTCTTGAGCTTGGGCTGTATTAGTTAAATCTAAAAAAACGCTATAAAATCGCTGGAATTATGTAGTTTTTTACAACGATTTAGACAGTGTACAAAACGATTTATATTCTTAAATAAAAACTATAAAGAAAAGTTGACTGAACAAGTCAAGAAAAATGAATAAGACAATACTTTGATATCAGCTACCAATTTATGATGTGTATTAAATGGAGTGATAACATCAGCGACCATATCGTTACCAAATGGAGATAAAAATCCTAACCGTAACCACGTTTGGCTCATACATTTTTTTGATAATTTTCAGACAACGACAGCCGATCGGATCTACATATGTAGCTGCAGCGAACACGTTTTTTTAAACAAAATTTTTACACAAGTAAATTCTTTGATGTTCATCGTTTTTGTAAATTAATTAAAATATTCGATCAACGACCGCCGCGCCGACGGAAAGATGGAACTAGTGTCTGAATTCGAAGATATGGGATTTGACCATCGAAGATTGTGAGTCTTATTATTTAGCACGATATTTTTTTCAATATTGTTTTTTTATTCGTTTAAATGGTGTACGGGATGGGTACAAATATTATCGAGACTAAAGTAGGCTGGCCAAACCGTTTTGTGTTGTACGGAAAATCCGTATTTTCTAATCTGTTGCCGTTTTACCAATACGACACAGTAACGGGTACGTTGGACTACGCTAATAAGTCGAGACCTTTACGTCTCAGAATTGCGATCGACTAATAAAATAATAAATACATGCTATGTTGCCACACCTTTTATAAGTTAAATTTTAAAACGTTGAAAAACAATATTAAATTTCTAACGCCCATTTAGTCATTTCATTTGTGTGACACCACATGGGTCGCCCGCTGTCAAATATAACATCAACATTAATGCTATTTAATTCTTCATAGCTCGGAGATAATAATATTTAGTATAAACCATGACGTAGAAGAGAAAATTTTAATTTCAATAAAAAAAAAAAAATTAAAATCGTAAAACTTTAATAGACTGTATTAAGTGATAAACAAAAGAACTCTTTAACACATTTTAATTAATTATTTTGATATTCAAATTCAAAATTAATATTTACTTAATCATATAAAATTTGATTTGAAGTACTTGTATCCCAATTTGTTTGAAATTTTTTTGTAGCATTCCGTGCACCTTTTTTTTATTTTTCTGTTTCTCGAACATTTTTTTTCTGTTTCCTCAAGTTTGTGTCTTACAGTTTGTCTTCTTTGGATTCTATCTTCAACTAATTGTTTAGTGATCAAAGTATGTATAGGAACTGATCTAGATGAAGGTTTTAATTTAAAGAGTTTGTCCACAAGAACTTCACAAAATTAGTGTATATTTCGGATATTTCATTTAACTTTCGGTGTTTCTTTCAAAAATTTTGTTCATAATACATAATTGTGTGTTTACTACAAAAGTATTAAAAATTATCTCAGGTGCTACCTTATAAAGATGCTAACTGGTTGGAAAGATCTATTCCAGCTTTTCCAGAATTATAAAACCATATAACATCCATAGGTTTGACTATATCATTGTCATCCCTATTTTTTTTCCAGTGGTTGTTATATTTAATTGATGACGAGTTAAAAGTAAGTGAATATCTCGTTTATCTTTAAACTTCGATGCTATAATACCAAAATTACTTTTATGACACACAAATTCTCCTCTTTATTTCTATAACAGTTTTTGGAAAAAATCGTCTTTTTTTCCTATAAGTTTAGACCAATTGGATGTTTTGTGACAAAAGTTTTTCTGCTAATAGAACAGACGTATAAAAATGATCGGTCACGATAGTACAACCTTCATTAAACAAATGTTTACACAAAGAAGCTACTATTGCTTCACTCAGCAATTGACCAGGTCTTGAATTTTTTCCTTCATAAATCATTATTTTATATGTATATTCATTACACACACAAACCTTAAATCATTACACCATATTATGTGTTTTGTTTGGTATGTACTGCCAAACCATCAATCTGCCTCGATAAAGTATCATTGATTTATCTACCGCAATTAATTTGACAGGTTTATTCATATTTTTAAATAATTAATTTGTAAAAATAAGTCACCTTCATACTTTATACAAGCAGTCTATTTAATCTGCAGTCACATTATCCACAAAACATTCACATCTTAATAGCAAGAATTGTGGTTGATCCTACAGGCTGGTAATTTGTATTAAACAATTTGTATTACCACTTTTCAGCTTCCTACTTAAAACACTTTTATGTAAGGACGTTCCAAAAGTGGAAAAGTACTATCCAAATTATCGTAACTACTCTCTTGGCTTTTGTCATTTTAGTACTGCAAATTAGGAAACAAATTTTAAAATATCACACAATTAAATAGCACACAAATTTGATTTATATTATAAGACATCATTTAAATTTTAAAACAAAAAACATATTAACTTCTTAATATGAATTGTTGTTAATCCTACAAGCTAGTAATTTGTATTAAAGCATTTGTAATACCACTTTTCAGCTTCCTACTTAAAACACTTTTATGTAAGGACGTTCCAAAAGTGGAAAAGTGTTATCCAAATTATCGTAACTACTCTCTTGGCTTTTGTCATTACAGTACTGCAAATTGGGAAACAAAATTTAAAATAGACACAATTAAATAGAACACGAATTTGATTTATACCATAGGACCTAATTTTCATTTTAAAACAAAAAACCTATTAACTTCTTAATAGCATGAATAGTTGTTAATCCTACAAGCTAGTAATTTGTATTTAACAATTTGTAATACCACTTTTCAGCTTCCTACTTAAAATACTTTTATGTAAGGACGTTCCAAAAGTGGAAAAGTATTATCCAAATTATCGTAACTACTCTCTTGGCTTTTGTCATTTTAGTACTGCAAATTGGGAAATAAATTTAAAAAAATGACACAATTAAATTGAACACGAATTTGATTTATATCATAAGACATCATTTAAATTTTAAAATAAATAACGAATTAACATCTTAATAGCATGAATTGTGATTGATCCTACCAGCCAGTTATTTGTATCAAATAATTTGCAATACCACTTTTCAGCTTCCTACTTAAAATACTTTTATGTAAGGACGTTCCAAAAGTGGAAAAGTATTATCCAAATTATCGTAACTACTCTCTTGGCTTTTGTCATTTTAGTACTGCAAATTGGGAAACAAATTTAAAAAAATCACACCATTAAATAGAACACGCATTTGATTTATATCATAAGACCTCATTAAAATTTTTAAACAAATAACGAATTAACATCTTAATAGCATGAATTGTGGTTGATCCTACAAGCTAGTAATTTGTATTTAACAATTTGTAATACCACTTTTCAGCTTCCTACTTAAAATACTTTTATGTAAGGACGTTCCAAAAGTGGAAAAGTATTATCCAAATTATCGTAACTACTCTCTTGGCTTTTGTCATTTTAGTACTGCAAATTGGGAAACAAATTTAAAAAAATCACACCATTAAATAGAACACGAATTTGATTTATATCATAAGACATCATTTAAATTTTAAAATAAATAACGAATTAACATCTTAATAGCATGAATTGTGGTTGATCCTACCAGCCAGTTATTTGTATCAAATAATTTGCAATACCACTTTTCAGCTTCCTACTTAAAATACTTTTATGTAAGGACGTTCCAAAAGTGGAAAAGTATTATCCAAATTATCGTAACTACTCTCTTGGCTTTTGTCATTTTAGTACTGCAAATTGGGAAACAAATTTAAAAAATCACACAATTAAATAGAACACGAATTTGATTTATATCATAAGACCTCATTTAAATTTTAAAATAAATAACGAATTAACATCTTAATAGCATGAATTGTGGTTGATCCTACCAGCTAGTTATTTGTATCAAAATTTGAATACCACTTTTCAGCTTCCTACTTAAAATACTTTTATGTAAGGACGTTCCAAAAGTGGAAAAGTATTATCCAAATTATCGTAACTACTCTCTTGGCTTTTGTCATTTTAGTACTGCAAATTGGGAAACAAATTTAAAAAAATCACACCATTAAATAGAACACGAATTTGATTTATATCATAAGACATCATTTAAATTTTAAAATAAATAACGAATTAACATCTTAATAGCATGAATTGTGGTTGATCCTACAAGCTAGTAATTTGTATTTAACAATTTGTAATACCACTTTTCAGCTTCCTACTTAAAATACTTTTATGTAAGGACGTTCCAAAAGTGGAAAAGTATTATCCAAATTATCGTAACTACTCTCTTGGCTTTTGTCATTTTAGTACTGCAAATTGGGAAACAAATTTAAAAAAATCACACAATTAAATAGAACACGAATTTGATTTATATCATAAGACATCATTTAAATTTTAAAATAAATAACGAATTAACATCTTAATAGCATGAATTGTGGTTGATCCTACCAGCCAGTTATTTGTATCAAATAATTTGCAATACCACTTTTCAGCTTCCTACTTAAAATACTTTTATGTAAGGACGTTCCAAAAGTGGAAAAGTATTATCCAAATTATCGTAACTACTCTCTTGGCTTTTGTCATTTTAGTACTGCAAATTGGGAAACAAATTTAAAAAAATGACACAATTAAATAGAACACGAATTTGATTTATATCATAAGACATCATTTAAATTTTAAAATAAATAACGAATTAACATCTTAATAGCATGAATTGTGGTTGATCCTACCAGCTAGTTATTTGTATTAAACAATTTGCAATACCACTTTTCAGCTTCCTACTTAAAATACTTTTATGTAAGGACGTTCCAAAAGTGGAAAAGTATTATCCAAATTATCGTAACTACTCTCTTGGCTTTTGTCATTTTAGTACTGCAAATTGGGAAACAAATTTAAAAAAATCACACAATTAAATAGAACACGAATTTGATTTATATCATAAGACATCATTTAAATTTTAAAATAAATAACGAATTAACATCTTAATAGCATGAATTGTGGTTGATCCTACCAGCCAGTTATTTGTATCAAATAATTTGCAATACCACTTTTCAGCTTCCTACTTAAAATACTTTTATGTAAGGACGTTCCAAAAGTGGAAAAGTATTATCCAAATTATCGTAACTACTCTCTTGGCTTTTGTCATTTTAGTACTGCAAATTGGGAAACAAATTTAAAAAAATCACACAATTAAATTGAACACGAATTTGATTTATATCATAAGACATCATTTAAATTTTAAAATAAATAACGAATTAACATCTTAATAGCATGAATTGTGGTTGATCCTACCAGCCAGTTATTTGTATCAAATAATTTGCAATACCACTTTTCAGCTTCCTACTTAAAATACTTTTATGTAAGGACGTTCCAAAAGTGGAAAAGTATTATCCAAATTATCGTAACTACTCTCTTGGCTTTTGTCATTTTAGTACTGCAAATTGGGAAACAAATTTAAAAAAATCACACCATTAAATAGAACACGAATTTGATTTATATCATAAGACCTCATTAAAATTTTTAAACA